AATAAAAAGGCTTAACGTCAGCCATGGGTGATGAAGTATTAATGAACCAAGGAAAAAAGCATGATCGAGACTGGGGAAATCCATAAGTGACCCTATTTGAATTGATGGGATGTGGGCCTGTAACCGTGAGATTGAGGTTACGAAACCACCAGTTAGAACCCGCTAGTTTGGGTTATTAGGTTGTACTGAGTCAAGGAGAAGCATGGCTGGGATTTCGTGGTCTTGCACGTTTATTTTGGTTGACATACCTGCTGAATGAGTGTTAATTTAACTAGAACCATCATTCAGCTGGAAAGTTGATTCGTCTTCTTTTTGACGGCGACTTAACACCTTCTCTACTTCGATTTTTCATCCAAGCATAAGTAATTCTCACTTAACTTAGAGTTACTTTGTTTTCTGTTTCTGCTTTTCTTAGGCATATTTTGGTATGGACATTCGCCGATTACATTAACGATCTGCTAAATTTTAATTAGTGGTCTCGTATGTCCACTTAAGCGCCTAAAACTAGCTTCAATCAGTCTAGCTCGCTGCAATACTCGGGTTCGATTCCCGCTGGAGGTGTTTACTAGACCGAAGTGAGGTCGCTTTTGCCGCATTTCACATCTGTTAGCTTCCTAAATGTATTCCCATCTAAAGTAGACTGCAGTTTCAGCCAGTCCTGATGAGACCTAAACAGAGTCAAAACGGAGGGTACCTTTTGGGCAGCAAGGCTAAGTGAAATTAAACGGGGATGCCTATTCATAGCAATCTAGTAAATTAAACCACCAATTTTTAATTACTTTATACGAAGTATGGTGAATAAAGCACTTTTGTTAGATTTACCGGTAGTCTCGAAAACCTAAATATTTAACGTAAAATTAAAATTGTTGACAATCCATATAATAACAATGGCGAATGAAAAATTATGGTGTGCCTTTGCTTGATCTCGATTTAATACAAGCCACGCTTACTTGGCAGTAAGCTTGTTAGAAGCTAAGGCCTGAAATTATTCTCTAGTCAGAACTAATGTCCTTAGAGCGAAACGGGCGTACCTGCGATGTGAGTAGGAGTTTGACACTAAATACGCCCCAAACAATTGGCGCATCTCAATGATTGAATTTAAGTCACATGCAAAGTTTTATAAACGTATAGCAATGATTCTGGTGTATAAAATCAAAAATCGTTGATGTGTCCAGCGCATTTTCTAGGGAAGGTGACTTTGCTACCAGTTCTTGCAAGCGTCACACCCACAAATAAATCTTCTTAATCCAAACTGAATTGCCGATTAAGCCAATTGGTCTATCCAGTAGGGTTAGAATCTTTGCCATCTAGGTCGGAGACAGATTAACAAATTGGTGTTGTCCAACAGGGCGAAAGAATAGGCACGTGAAAAGGCATATAAACTGATTTTTTGTTCCCATTACTGAACCGCTTGCAGCACATTGGCATCCAGCATCTATTTTTCGTGCATGACCACCACCGCCAAGTGCGATAACAAGCCTCCTGCTATAGGATTGTTGCTCATACACTTGACGATCTCAACGAGAATCGGACCCGACTCGAGATTAAGCCTGTGAGGGTTCATGATAATAACCATATGCATTTAGCTCTTCGGTCAGTTTGCGGTAAATGACTATATATTTCGCATTAAAGTACTTTTGAGGCTACCAGTAAATCAGTAATACGAGATGTATTCACCCAATGTCGTTTAAGGTGACGGACTGGTAGAAGAATTTTCTCACAATATGAATAGAGCAGACGTTTTCATTGAATGTCACATTGCCTTGCTTTCCCAAAAGTTCGCGCTGGATGCGCACTACTTTTGGGAGAGCAAGGTTATGCGAAAATCAATGAAAACGTCAGCCGCATTCATATCACTGTGGAAAAATTCTTCTACCAGTCCATCACCTTAAACGAAATTGGGTAAATAAACTTCATTTAAGCTACTTTAGGCCGACTAGTCCGGTATGACAGAATGGCATCGGCGGATAATCTTCGAAAGCAACGGGTCCACACGAAGGCCAAATGAATTTTTCGGAGAAAAAGTATAGGAGCTGGACTATGATAGTGACATGGCCTCCATTAAAGTATGAGAGAGGATTCCGAGTATTCAAGAGCGATCTGGCGATGCACTAACTACTATGGATACATAAGGGTCGCTTCAACTCGAGTCTACGCAGAGTGGGGTGGTCGGGGCTTGTAGCCGAACTCAGACACGGCCCAGTAGAATTCCGCACCCTTAAGCAACACACCCAGCTCCCCGAACATCGACAGAATTGGCCGCATTCTTGGATCAACGAGAATGAGCTTTCACCTCTGCACCATTTTCGGTGGATAGGCCCATAATGGGTCAGGGCTCAGACGAGGAATTATTTGAATTTCATAGCGGCGAGTGAGAAAACCGAGCACCTTCAATAGGGGCAGACGAATAGTCACCCAGCCCCATGCTTAACGCCGAATAAGGCCGCGTAGCACAGGAATCAGCGATCTAGAGAACGCGTTTGTCAGGGGCTTATCACGCAACAAAACCGAATATAATCATGCGAAGCAAAACTGGCGAGCTAGCCAACTAAAACGAAACGAGTAATGATACCAAGGGAAACTTTAAAAATACATTCTCAAGACCAATAACACTGGAAGCGTGCGCAAAGGCATACAGGCCAACAAAATTTTGATCGGACGGACTGGAAAAGCACAGGGAATCGAGGTGGTCATCTAATCAATTTGAGATCGTAATTTGATTATGTCAGAGGAATTTGAAGTCACAAAGAAGCACGAACAGACTCCTCCAACGAGACATAGCATGGACGAGCGGGTCCGGATCGGAATGTGCGAGCAGTAGTTTAAGACCTAAATACGCATGGAAAAATCCATGTTGGCGGGTTGAAGGGACTTTAATTAAGACGCCCACTGAAAAATAGAGCAAAAAGCAGTGAATCGGATAATTTAATAGTTAAACTAGAGTAAAACGGTGGGGAAAAGAAGTCTAAATGCCTAAACCCAGGCCAAATGCAAAGGGCATCACTTGTCAACAGTAGCCATGTGGGCGACAAGATCGACAACGCGGCAGCTGTATCCATACTCATTATCGTACCTATATCAGGTTTATAGAAATAAAGAGACTTACCATGCGATTAATTTAACAAAAGTATCGTTGAGTTGTATGCCAGCCTTAGCATCGAATATTGAAGAGGAGTGAGAACCACGGAAATCCATGCTCACCACTTCATCTTCAGTGTATTCAAGTATGCCCTTAAGGGGACCTTCAGCAGCAGCTTTGATCACCTTCTTGATGGTATCGTACGGAGCTGGCTTAGCAAGCTTGACAGTCAAGTCTACCACCGAAACATCAGGTGTAGGAACACGGAAGGCCATGCCAGTGAGCTTGCCATTGAGGTCAGGAATTACCTTCCCGACAGCTTTCGCCGCCCCCGTTGAGGCCGGAATAATGTTCTGGGCTGCGCCACGACCGTCACGCCAGAGCTTGGCGGAGGGCCCGTCAACAGTCTTCTGAGTGGCCGTATAGGCATGGACAGTAGTCATCAATCCCTCAACTATTCCGAAATTGTCATGGACAACCTTGGCAAGGGGAGCCAGGCAGTTTGTTGTACAGGACGCATTTGATACAACGGTCATAGAAGGATCATATTTGTTATGGTTGACTCCCATAACAAACATAGGAGCGTCGGCAGAAGGGGCGGATATTACGACTTTTTTGGCTCTGTTGTTTTTCAGGTGAGCCTAGAGGTATATTTATAAAGGAAGCTTACGCCGGCCTTATCTATTGTCGTGAAGACGCCAGTTGACTCGACAACATAGTGTGCGCCGTCTTTATCCCAAGGAATGGCCTCAGGATTACGCTCCATGTAGACGGAGATGTTATGACCATCTACGCAGAGCTTTTGGTCTTTAATGGAAACTTGTCCATTATAAGTCCCATGAGTGGAGTCATACTTGAACATGTAAACCATGTAGTTTAGGTCGATGAAGGGATCATTTACTGCAACAACATCGACGGTACCTTTCTCAAGGGCGGCACGGAGGACAAGACGACCAATCCTACCAAAGCCATTAATGCCGACCTTAGGTTTCATGCGGAGGAGATGCCTACGTGACGGAAGAAAGGTGCGAAGATGAAGAGGGAGAGGGCAAAGGTGACCTTATATACAAAAAAAAGAAATAGCTCATTAAAATAAATTTTTAACATTTATATAATTTTTTTAAAATTAAAAATTAATAATATTTATATCTTAATGAAGCATTACAGATGAATTTATCAGTGTTTAAAAAACTTTAAACAGTTATAGGTCCCGACAACCTCATGCCTTTTCGTTCGGCGCCTTCTCAATGTCGGCCCTTCTCGAGGATATATTTGATGTTAAAGATGTTGACAGAGATGGGAAAAAATTCGATAAAGTCTCCAGATATTTTTGCGAAAGCGAATCGTTCAAAATGGGGCTGATCCTTGATATGTATAGTCTTATTTATCAGTTGATGAAGGGTGACAAATTTCGAATGGTCCTTACTAAAAGTGTACTAAACGATATAGGAGCAGATGCAGATGATGACGACGAGGACGATGCAGCAGAAGAAACGGGCGAGAGGCTCGCAAATAGCAAAATGGCCGAGTTTGATTATGTTTGCTATGGTAAAATATACAGAATAGAGGCTCATGATAGCGGAGCAGATGCTAGTCGGCTCTCCTGCTTCGTTTCTTTCGGTGGGCTTCTAATGCAATTAACTGGAGATGCAAGTAATTTACAGGGATTCCGAGTTGGGAAGCACCTATATCTCATGATAAAAAAACTTGCATTCTGATCCGACCTGTTTATTTGTAAGTTGTTTCCCACTCCCTGTACACAACCGATTGTTTCAATATATCCCTTTCTAAATGTGTAACTTTTATTTATTCACGACAACTTTGGACCTGCGTGGCATATCAGGACCTATTCTGTGCTACTTGCTATATAAGTTGTTTAGCCCACTAGTCGAAGTATTTCTTTACTTTTGTGTGCTGCACTTTGTTCTTGTGCAGTCACACCATATACAGAGACATCTTTTTTATTTCGATCTATTAAACTACGCTTGCTGGATATCCTCTGCCGTAGTGATTAGAATATGAAACAGCCACTCGGTGATCTCTAAGGAACGCGGCCCACTTTATGTTTAGCTGTATTGCTCTTTATCTCACTAGTTTACAGCATCTCGTCACTCGTCCATTTTCATGGCCTGAATTTTAAGACGGTCTAGGGAACCTAAGATTAATTGGCAAAGATATAAAGCAGAGCGTAGTTGAGTGTCCAAATGCACTCCATGAGGGTACGCGAAGTGATCCATTCAATGGTAACGCGCGGCTGGGGAGGGTAGTCTTTGTAAATTTATATTCCACGACCTAGGATGAGTATTGATGAGGCAAGCTAGTTTTTGGAGTTCGTAAATCAAGCCTGCAGGTGAGGGGGTAGTCGAGAAGACAAATTGAGGGTACGAGGTGGAGAACGCATTCAGCGTCAATACATGAATAAGACGGCACTACATATACGAATAAAATCAAGTTAATGCCTCGAGGCAGTAAGTGTGCAGCACAGACCATTCCCTCAGCTATCGAGGCCCGACGACCAGCTTAATTGTTGGCCCCATCGCTGAGTATTTTCTGCGGACTCAAACATAGAGTGTGGCCAAGGCCACGACGAAGGAACAAATTAAGGGCTAGGTCGATTTATTTTTATGCCGAGGTAAGGACACTCCACGTCCTTAATACACTAGATTTGATTGGTCTACTTAGCCTGTTATGCACACTATATGGACCAAATTATATACTTTGACAGTCTCCTTGATTCTGAATGTGGCCATTGACAGCGATTAACAGGATAAGACTGAAGCCATTTTGACCTACGTTTAGTCTGACATTAGAGTTTCATTATTTCGTATTAGTGAACCCGATATCTCATAAGAGCAGCTAATTCAGCCGTCCGATTAGCTGAACCAGCGGAGTGAGTGTACGGAATCCCGATAAAATGTGGTTGGCGCCAATATTCTGCAGCACAAGACTGTTTTAGGCAGAAGCTCACTTGCCATGAGCCCGAAAGTAACTAGTAAGGCTCCGTTGTCTGTATGGGGAGTTAAGCACACCTTGCAACAAGCCCCGCAACGCTACCACATCACAAATAATACAACCGAACCCCTCGAAGCGACAGCAAGCATACTTGTTAGCCTGATAACCAATCATCTATCAGAGTATATTGCAAAGCAAACAGTACAAAGAAAGGATAGGACACGATAATAATAAAGACCAGTATGTAAGAGAAAATCAGTCCCCGTCGGCACAAAAAAAAATTCCGTTTAGTTAAATCTTCCTCAGCAAGGAAAGCGGTACTGCTGGATTGAGCGTCATTAAGTTAGTTAACAGAAACAGAGTTCGTGGGATGCGAACAGCGATGGGATAATAAATAAGAAAGCTTTGAATATACAACGAATGCCCACATAAAATAAGTGACAGGAAAAAGA